CATCATTGGAAGTCAATCCCCCTTCTCGGTGTTGTTTCCCACCTTGTCTTCGTTTCCTCTCACCCTAAGAGTCTTTGGATGTGTTTGTTTTGTTCAAAACTTKGGRCMTRGTTTAGAYAADTTAGATGCACRAGCTACTAAGTGTATCTTCCTTGGCTACTCAAGGACTYAGAAAGGGTATAAGTGCTATAACCCTAACTTCTATAAGTCATTTGTGTGCTCCGATGTCACCTTCTTTGAATTGGTTCATTTTTTCTCGGATACTGTGGTTTTCTTCTCCTTCCCCCGTAGTTCCTCTTCCCGTCCCTGTTGCGGATCCCCTTCCCGTGGTTTCCATTCCAGTTGTAGATTCACCTCTCGTGCCAATTACTACTGAGAGGCCACCAATCAGACAAGTGTATACTCATAGAAGAGCATCGGTCCCTCCTCCAATTCAGCCCTCGTCGACAAATCCTGTCATTGCTTCTTCTCCCTTGGACCTTGATCTTCCTATTGCCCTGCGGAAAGGTAAACACACTTGTACTTCTCATCCTATTTCACACTATGTTTCAGCTGCTCACCTTTCTGCTTYTCATYGYAACTTTATATCATTGCTATCATCTGTTTCCATTCCCAAGACTGTCCAGGAAGCCCTTACCTCCCCAGGGTGGTGGCAAGCGATGGAAGAGGAACTCTCTGCTTTACAACACAATCACACGTGGGAACTCACTGCTCTTCCTCCTGGTAAGCATGATGTTGGGTGTTAGTGGCCAAGGGCTATTCTCAACTGTATGGTGTGGATTATATGGAGACATTTTCTCCTGTGGCTAAAATTGGTTCAGTTCGGGTGTTGATTTCATTAGCTGCTATGTATGATTGGTATGGTGTGGACTATATGGAGACATTTTCTCCTGTGGCTAAAATTGGTTCAGTTCGGGTGTTGATTTCATTAGCTGCTATGTATGATTGTCCTCTTGTGCAGCTTGACATAAAAAATGCTTTCCTACATGGTGATCTCATTGAGGAAGTGTATATGGAGCAACCGCCAAGGTTTGTTGCTCAGGGGGAGGATGGTAAGGTTTGTAGACTCAAAAAGGTAATTTATGGACTGAAACAATCTCCACGCGCATGGTTTGGCAGGTGAAGTAGTGAAAGACTTTGAGATGAAACAGTGTCACGTAGACCATTCTGTGTTCAGCCATGACTCAAAAGATGGGAAAATCTTGCTAGTGGTGTATGTGGATGATATTGTCATAACTGGAAGTGACAGTAATGGGATTGACAGGTTGAAGAAATTCCTACAGGACCACTTCAATACGAAAGATTTGGGTAAGCTGAAGTA